ATTGATTTGATCAACGATTTTCCTTGTTGTGGATACGACTTATGTGTTCCTGAAGGTTCTCTTTTGATGTAAATTGAGGTGTCTCTGATGGCTCCCTTTTGAGGTGAATTGGGTGTGGCATAGCTCACATTGGAACGGTTTATCGCCAGAATGGGTTCGCATGTGTCTTTCCATATTTGTTTTGACTGAACCGATAAATTTTTTGCACAAATGACATTCATAGCACCGTCGATTGCAGTTTGTTTCATAAGCTTTGCATTGAGATTGCTTCGCGAATCCTTGGTGACAGATCGAACATTTGAATGGGAGCTTCTTCGTATGATATACAATGTGTTTGTTGAGACTAACTTTGTGTGTGAATTGCTTCAGACAACGTTGACATTCGAACGGCGTATCACCAGAGTGTGTGCGCATATGGTCGATCAAATTGGATTTGTTGAAACTAAATGACTTTCCACAAACATAGCATTCATACAAACAGCGATTACACTTCGCCTCATGTGCATTTCTTTCATCTTGGCGAACGAATCCCAGACGACATCTGGTACAGCGGAATGAACGTAGACCACCATGAACCTTCATGTGTCCCTTAAGATGACTTTTTCGTGCAAATAGTTTGAAGCATTCGTTGCATTGGAATGGTTTGTTACCACTATGCACACACATGTGATTCATCAGATTCGCCTTTATTGATCCAAAAGAATCCTTGCACAAATGACATTCGTAGCGACGAGTCGTGCAATTGGCCTCGTGAGCTTCCTTTCCGTTTTTTCCATCGAATCCTTGCAAACAGCCCGGGCAATGGAACAGAAACTCTTCGATGTGAGCTTTCATGTGGGCACGGAGATTTTGTTTGCTTGTAAAACGTTTCGGGCAGAAATCGCATCCATGTGGCTTCTCGCCAGTGTGTTTCAGCATGTGCTTATTTAAATCACCTTTCCATCGCGTTGAATAGACGCAAATGTGGCATTTATGTTTCTTTGATAAATTTGGATGAGCATTGCCATCTCGCTTCTGTGTATCGCATCCACCTTCATCACCTTGTTGCGGCGGCTGCTGATTTTGATGGCCATCCGTAGCTTCTTCACTTGAGTCAGCATTTATTTTCGAGTCTTCTTCTTTGTTATCTTCACATTCTTTCTTCACCTCGACCTTAGCATCGACCTCGTCCAAGTGATCCAAATCATATTCAACGTCACGCACATTGAAACCAGGAACACGTCGTAGATTGCGATAAGTCAATGCCGACACTTCAACCACTTCGTCGACAGACACTGGCTCATTTTTAATGTCACCTTCTTGTTTGATTTCGATTGAATCCGAAGACTGAATATGGTTTTGGTTTGCGGACATTCTCAGGCTTTTCGTATCAGTTGGGAGGCCAGAGCTGTGCTCCGCGTTTACTGCTCGCCTGAATGAACAAAATTTCACAATTGAAAGATAGAAGAATACTTTCGAGGTTAGGTTTGTTTGTACAAATGCTATAGGATCAATGAAATTCTTGTCTTCAAAATTATTTAAATAAATTTTAGCGCGTGAAAATAATCGATTATAGTAGTTGATTGACGCTTTAGCTTCGATAGTCCAATATTGATTTCATTCATCCAATGCTAATATTGATGCTATCGAAATGCACCCACTTGTCAGTGAGACTTCAAAATGTACTTACTTCGTTTTATTGTCCGTCAATTACACCGATTCTATGACCTCCGTCGTGTTTCGGTGGTTTTTACAATTCGAAATTTTATTTTTTATAAAAATTACTTGAACTGAAATTTTTTTGTTGGTTTTCGAATGAAATATTTGCCTCACCAGGTGTCGATAGGTTGTGGTACGTGTTTTCACCTCGATTGTTACCAATGAAAAGAATGTTCATTTGCTATGTCCAACGATAGTGCGGCAAATATGGTGCATGTGATTGTGCACGTTCAAATAAATTCATGAGGCTGTGTGAGAAGTGCTTGCTCAAACGTCACTTGTCAAACTCTCTGCGTGGTGAATGATGTGTACTACAGCTGTCAAAAATCGGTATTTTATTAATATGTTAATAAACAACATATTTTAATAATTAATAAAAATGTTGAAACACCATATTTATTAACGCTAATAAATATAGTGCATTTTATTAACATATTAATAATTATTAGTATGGTGAATTTTCGGTTATTAATATGGTGTAGATTTTATTAAAATGTTAATAACGATATTTTATTAGAATTTTAATAAAATCGACAATTTTTTTATTAGAATTTTAATAAAATGTGGTTATTAATATGGTGCCGATTTTATTAGAATTCTAATAAATTCGACAACATATTGGATTTCATCCGATTTTATCAACGGACGACATCATGTTCACATCAAAGTCTATTCAACACAGCGTTAAGATTAAGACAATCATTTATCACCACAAAATCTCAAAGAAAAACGAGTCTGGAGATATTCGACATGTTTTTTGTATGAAACTTTTCAAAAAAATTGCGAAGAAAAGTTTCATATAAAATTCATGTCAGTTTTTGCCAGACGACAAAATCTCGATGAAAAATGAGTCTGGAAATATTTGACAGTTTTTTTGTATGAAACTTTTCAAAAAAAATCCGAAGAAAAGTTAATAACCACATTTTATTAACATTTTAATAAAATCTACACCATATTAATAACCGAAAATTTACCATACTAATAATTATTAATATGTTAATAAAATGCACTATATTTTATTAAAGTTAATAAAAAATTCATTTTATTAAAATATTAATAAATTATTAATATGTTAATAAAAAAATATGTTAATAAATTATTAATATGTTAATAAAGTGACAGCTGTAATGTGTACAGAGTTTTGATTCATCTCAGCGAGATTCCAATGGTCGCAAATGATATTTTTCAAATTCAAAATTGATTCATTGCAAAGCATTTATTGAAAACGATATTTCATGTTGGATTGCTATGAAGAGTGTTCATTGGAAAGAGATTTTCGACGAATATTTTATGAAAATTGAATATGATTTGAATTGATAACATGATTTTCTAAATTCATAAGGAACGAAATATTTTTCAAATTGATTTTTCGAGCATACAATTTTGAAGCACTTTTTGAATTTTTTATGGTTCATTATGATTTTTCTTCAACCAATGAATTTGATTCTGATGGTAAGTGGCTTTAGCTGACGATGGACAATGAAAACATACTTTTGCAACCAAATTACATTGTTCAGTAATTTCTATGGTGAATGGGTTTCATATGGTTTTTCAAAATCCATTCAAAATCCTAGGGGCTTCTATGTCGGTTTGACATTCGAATTTTTATTCACAAATTCGCGCTCAGTGCATTCGCAACGCTGCCATATGATTTCTATGTAAACATTCGCACTCGCATTCGTATGGCAGTTGTATTTCGCCGTTCTCGAACGTTCTCACGAATGCGAGTGCGAATGTTTACATAGAAATCATACGGCAGCGTCGCAAATGCATGCCCAAACACGAATGAACGAATGAATTATGTAGTCACAAGTTCGATGTCATAGCCGCATTCGTCGCATTCGCAAACATTCGAATTTTTGTTCTGAAATGCGAATGCATTCGCAGCATTCGCGAGAGATAAATCCCCTTAGTCAAAATCATTCGCAAAATACCCAGAATATTCCTATGAATATCATAACTTTTTTAAGTTTGGTATGGTCGTCAGACAAAAATTTTCAAACTATTATTGCAGCTACGCCACTGAGCTGTTGTTTAAGTGTATGTAGCCATAAAGCTGCTGAGCTCAGCTATGAGGGCTATATATTTAGCCCAAACGTTACTGCATACACTTCTTTAAAAAAATCCGATTCGGGAAAGACGTGCCATAAGGTGATTCTATGGTTTCTGCGGCTGTTGTCTTTCGAATAATATTTCTTTTAATAGATTTTTCTCAAGAATTGTTAATTTAGTACGGTGCCGGGTGAACACTTGTCCATGCATAGTGAAGACATACATTCTCGGAAATGATGTCTTAGAGAGAAAATAATCCGAAAAGGATTAAGAATTGACTTCGAATCATATCCGTGTGTCAATCTGGTTTCCTTGAATGAGCCCAACACAAATCGGAATGTCGTATTCTCTCTCGTCTTATATAAGGTCACTTCTTTTGTTTGAATCTCACATTCGACTGTTTAACCTCATCGAGCACAGAGTGATAGAATCATCGGAAGATTTTTGAAATTTAAAAAGACCATTTCTGTTAAAAAAATATTTCTCAAGATATTGTCAATTTAACTCGACCCAAAAAAAATTTAACACCATTTCTAACAATAACATTCAAACAATACCAAAAAGTTTGATAAATATCAACAGACCGTGAGTTATTTGTGTTTTTTCGTCCAGTTGTAAATACATAAAAATGAGTGAATCATCGAATTACAATCAATGGCGTCAGCCAAAATCAGCTACAATGGATCCATCAAAGGCATGGATAAGAAATGTCGGTGTTGGCTTAACAAGACGAAAAATGTTCAACAGTCACCGAAATGCTCACGTCCAAAAAACGGAACAACCACGAAGACCGGTGAATGGATATTCATCGGCCAATACAAACAATAAGAATCAAGTTTCAGCGAGTCGTGCCATCGTTGACAGAGCGGCGAATGATCTGGAAAAGTGTCATATTTCCAATAGCTATTCAAAGTCATCGAACAGCAAACCGAAAGACGACCATTCATTTGCATTAACGCACACACAAATTGTCCGAGTGGCACTTGCTTCAGCACACGTGGCAGATCGAGCATTGGAGAGTGAAACAGCGCCCGGATCAAAGCAGAACGCTCAACCCATCTACATGGATGAAGCGGATGTGAATAATTTCATCAAAAGTGGCCACATTACATTTTTCCAAGGCAAATTACACTACAAAAAACCATGGAGCTGATTGTTTGACTCGCTTTTGATATATTTATGGCATACGGCGCACATTCAGTAATAAAAAATGAATTATTCGCCCAGTGGAGTGAGATAAAACTTTGAAATAATAGCACCATAAGAATCCAATTCTATTTTTGTATGATTTCATCCATAAACAATAAATACACATCTTTGAAAAAATCATAAATTGTTTCCATTATTCATGTCCATTTAAAAAAAATTCCTCAACTCGTGAGCATATCACACCAAAATAATATTTTTATTTCCAGACCCGATTAAAAAATGACGGAATTCATTCGTTGTGTTGAACTCCACTTTGATTCAAAATTAAATTGAATGCAACAGATTTGCCAATTTTACTGTCGTGCCGACTATTTCGTTCTGGATGATTTCCAAAGATAAAGAAAATAAAGCTAAAAGCCCATCAAAATTATTTAAAAAAACTACAAAAAGTGCACATTTGAAATTCAAATAGTGTTCCAGCCTTTAAAGTACCACACAAATGTACTTAACCGCACTCAAACGACCGAGTCTCCACTCTGACATAGGTATACGTATATGGAACGAACAACGAAAAATGTTTGACGTTTGGCCGATGACGACGACGCTTCATTTCTGTGCTCTCTCGTTTACTGACTATTGGCTTTTTTGTACGCTCTGTAAATGTTCCGTGTTTTAGATTTGTTTTATTCATTTCAATCGTCTAAATTTGTGTTCGTTGGAAAAAATCCAAGCGAATATTTTGGAAAGAATTGAATTTTGGTTATCAGGAAAATCGAAAATCGTTCAAAAACTGAACGCAGGCTTGTAACGCAACAGACGTCAGAATCTCACAACTGGGTGAGTTGTTCGATTGAAGCCAATTTTTTGCACAAAAATGCATAATCGAAACGACTTTTCAGTGTCCAATGGCAATGCGAATCGATTTTCTGATTTATAACAAACTATTGGAAATATGATTAAATTATAGGAAAAGGGAAATATTGAATGTGCATTGAAAATGTTGAGCAAATGTATCCAATTTCCACTCAATCTGTCACCGAATTGTTGTTTGGTCAATAAAATAAATTGTAATGTATTTCCAAACGATCCCGACGAGAAATTTGCGGTAAAATAGGTGTACGTCGACTATCCGTCGCATATCCGTTTTTGAGTGCGGATACTCGCAATGCGAATAGGTATCCACAATAAAAGTTGCCGCAAAATGTTATCGCTGAATACCCTGCGACTATTCGCGCTGCGATAAATGTGAAGTTGTAACTGGATCGAGTGTGACATTTCGACTTGAAACTTCGTACAACCAACGTGAAGTTGGCTGCGTTCGACGGACTTTTTCGTATTGCGACTATACGTAGAATAGTCGCAATGCGATATTCCGCAAATTTCTCGTCGGGGATATCTAATCAAAACATGTAATTTTTCTTCATTTCCAGCAACGATGAATGCAAACTCGCGCAGACATTTGGCCAGATACTGGTCGAACATTGAGGTAGAAACCATGGAAACGCTTCAATTGGTCAAAGAAGACTTTCAAAGTAGCGGCATGTCGCTCGATGGCGAATTCAAAGATTATTTCGTACGAGTAACAATTGATCGATTGAACGATCGGTAAGAAAGTCATTAATGTTTTTATTTTTAAAGCAATTTACCGAATTGATCGGTATATATTTTTGACATTTATTTTATTAATTAAAACCATGTCTCAACAATTCATTTTGTCTATAGAGTCACACGATTTTTCACTGAATGTGAATGGGAAAAGCAGTACATTGGCGGTCGATCTAGTCAGGCGCCAGCCAACGAAAGTCCAATCATTACGATGGTCACCGAAGCAAACGGCGAGACAGGAATCATGATCAGTCAATCGACGACTGAGCCAATTCCAACCGAGATGTACGTTCCAAGCGACGCATCACTCGTATCGTTCCTGGCCAAACATACTGACCCTAACAATGATTCCACGATCGAAGCAATGTTCGGCAACGTTTCAGTGCCGGCCTCTCAAACTGACCAGACTCCATTGATTAGTGTGAATGGAAGCGACCAGAAAAAGGATGCCAATCGAAATTACTTGACGCAAATAGAGAATGGCATGCGACCAGCTATGAATACCACTGAATTGGCGAATGGAATGATGGCCAATCATTCGACAAACGATCCAATCGTACCGGATTTGATTGCACAACCGAATATTGCTGTGGATTGGCCTCAAGAACTGCCCACTTCGACTCCATTCCATGGCTTGGTCGAGGAATCCGAAACGAAAGCTTCAAGCTGTGGGTCGTTCCAGCGATTCTCATCGTTTTTGGACAGAAATATCGATCCAAACGATGTCACATCGACGATCAACGCAATGCTTGGTAACGCATCAATGATAACGGCTCAAATCGATCAGTCTCAAGCGACTCACGCGATTGAAACTGGGCCAAACGATGCCAACAATGGAATTGGCATCGTAGAAAAAGCGATTCGAACGACACCACCCGATGCAACTGGACCAGAGTTCAGTGATATGGCCGACATCAACTCGATGAATGCTCCAGAGAGCGAATCAAATGACGCCCAACTGCCAAATGAAACGGTTTTTGGTGGGTTCATTGACATCGACGATGAGATTTCGGCTGAGGAACAAGCTGCATCGAGTACACGAAACAACGAATCAACCAACCAAGTAACAGAATGCATGGATTTGACCTGTGAAGATGTCGAACCAAGATCAAAAGGCGCCAGCAATCAAATTGAGCGAAACGCTGTGCGACGAGGAGGAAACCAGCGCCAAAAGAGGAAAATTTTGATGCAACGACGTCGGATGGAAGTGCGAAGAAGAGACGAAAGACGGGTCCACGATCGACACTGAAAACCATACCGGAATTGACTTCAGGTGAGATTTTTGATTGGTACGTGTAGAAACTTGATTTAGATTTTGATCTCGATTTCGATTCTCTTTCACAGAAGTGGCATTGATTGACAATACGAACAGTCAATCAGTCCAAGAGGAAGGTGCTGGCTTGAGTGGAGCCGAAAGTCAAAGTGCATCGACATCGAACGCGGAACAGATTGCAAAGAAGAGGAACGGCGTCGGCAAACATGCAGGTGAAAGTGGATCAAAGCGACATAAGTGTTCATTTTGTGAACACACTACATCATGGAAATGGAATTTGATAACGCATATGAGAACCCACGCAAATGAATTCCCGTTCCATTGTTCGATTTGTCGTCAAGGGCTGAAGGAGGAAAAGGAAACGCATGAAAAAGACTGCAACGTACGTCGATATGAATGCTATTTTCGCGAGTGCGAGTTTTCCACATTTCACAAAACAAATTTAGTCAAGCATATGCGCCGTCATACCGGCGAGAAACCATTTTGTTGCTCCCATTGTCCACAACGATTTACTCAAAAAATTAATTTAAATCGACATTTCAAATGTCGCCACAATAAAACCAAATGATTTTATGCAACGCGTTTCGAAGACGTTCCATCGTCGAGAGATGTCTAGAGACACATCGATAGTTTTTGTGATTGTATCACATTCAGAAATGTATGTTAATCACTTGATTGTGCGTAGAAGAAATGACTCTCAAAAAATTGTACAAAGATTGATGAAAATCAGCTCGAAAATGTTGTGATTTAGCGTGTTCAATAGAATAAAAAGGACTTAGAATTAAGTTTCAGAGACAGAAATATCCAAATTGAAGAATTGTGACATAAAACATTTGATGTTCGTTAATAAAGTGAAAGAAATTACATAAGACATCCATTTGGTTTCTCTTGTTTCTTTGCAAAACTATATTCGACAGGAGACTCTCCTGAGGAGAGTTCTTTATCTTCAACTGAATAAAACGCATGAATTGACTGAAGTTATTTTAGAACTATAGATCGTTTAATCCGATGAAAAATGTTGGCAAATTCATTTAAAATATACTTCTAACATGTTCTAAATTCAAAAAGCTGCAGTATCCATTCCTCATTGGATTGCTAAATCGCAAGATGTTTGACGGATTATGGTCGGATCCATCTCATAATTAATTGGGCAAATCTGGAAATGAATATAAATTTTGTACTACAGATCCGTTACAAAAACGCAACGCTAATGATTTAGCAATTAAATTCATGTGCTGAGCTTAGATGGTGCTGATTGACCATCATTCGAATGGATTTCTTTTTGCCGTATTTTCTTCTTGTTGACATACTGCAGGCAAGCTTTCAGATGATGTTTCTTTTTACGTCCACCACAAATTCGTCTTCCGCAAAATTCACACGAGAACTTTTGTTTAATTTTTCCATATTTTAAGCGGTTGTTAGCGAATGGGATGTGGCTATGATTTTTGGCGTGATGTTCCTTGAAGCTGCGTTCCATACACCATGCATCGCATAAGCCACATTTGTGCAGTTTCTCAATTTTGACAGCATTGAGTCGAGGATGGTTCAATTTCATGTGGTTATCGAGTTGTTCCTCTTTAAATCGATTGTGGCACACTTTGCATTGCTCCTTGGTGGCCATCAATTCAAAAGTAATGTTACTCGGTAGCATTTCTTTGGGACATTTCAAACGGTGTCGGCCTAGATGATTTTCCAGTATGCTCGGAGCTTTGCAGGCATTGCACTTGAACATTCTGACTGGATCAATACGGACAACTGGCATTTTCTCAATATGCCTGCTGATCAACTTTCCATTTCGACCGACACACGTGTACTGAACCAAAGGATGACTTCGACGCATATGCTCGGCGAATTTATTCGGGCAAAATAGACTTTCACACAGGCACTGAACCCTTTCACACATGACACTTATACTGTAATCTACTTCAAAGACAGCCTTGTGGCTTCGACGGAAATGATTTATGAGTTGGTCCTTTAATAAACCTTCTGCACTACAATATCTGCATTTGTACAGCTCCACGATGGTTGTCTGGAAGCAATGAACCAGCTTTGGCCTGGCCACTGAAGGAGTTTGAAAGTTGTACAGTTTTACGATGACTGTGTTCGAGCTTCGGTGGACTGGCAATGGTTCATTAGCTTTAGATTCGCAGCTTCCTTCTTCAACCTTCAAAACAACTGGATGAAACCGACGCATGTGTTCTTCCAGAAGACCACCCTTCATTGTTATACGGCAAACATCGCATTTTACTTCTTGGCCTTTGGTACTCAGCACAAAATCTTGATCGGTTGCCGGAATTTCTGAATGTATTTTTGTACAATGCTTTGCTATATTTCGCTCATTGATACCGTCAGCTCCGCAAATGACGTATCTATACAATTTTGCTGGAGGCTTGTGTTCAATATTCACGACCCAAATGTAAAAGAGATGTATTTTGGGGTGAATCTTCGAGTTGAAAAATGTCCTATGACCAAACAATTGTATTGAATTGTTAAATTATTTAAAACGATTTTCTATTTCAACGTCTTTTAAATTGCTTACCTTTTGCGCAGACGCCTTCTGCTTGCCCGGAATGACCTTCATCACCTCATTTTTGGGCATCAACTGTATGGAACAAAAATATCAACAAAACTTTCATCATTGACAAGCAACAGAGAACCGTGTTGGATGAAGAAAATTTTAGATAAGGTCGTTTACCTTTGATTTACACGAATTGTTGTTGTGTTTATTGCTCTTTTTCTGCATATCGCTGATGTTCATTAAATCACCGCTTCCTGATGAAATTGATTCATCCATACAACTGGCTTTTAAGGTCACATATCGGCCGGAGTTTGACGAGTTGATTTTTGAAGATACCAATGCTTGTAGATGAACTTGTTGCAAATGTTCAATGAATTGTTCTTCATCGAAACGTTGACTGCAAACGGAACATTGCCCATTCACTTTGGCCTCGATCATTTGGAAAGTATTTTGAGACATTAAATAAGCGAAGCCGTGGTTTTCGGAATGGTGTTCGCTGAACTGGTCTTCAGTGATTCCACTGCTATGGCAGAGTTTGCATCGGTAATATTTGATAGTTTCCTTATGTACCAAAGCGAAATCATGATCAACCATTTCGAACGGTGGTTTTGGCAACTTTTCCTTTTCCAATGGCTGCTTTTTTCGGCAAGTAGCACAAAGATCCGGTGAACATGTCTCATTTGATGGATTGAAATCATTACTGTTGTACCCTCTAAGGTTTCTTACACCACAGACCATGCAATTGAATGGTTTGAGCACAATCAATTCATACTTTTTGCTAGTGTTCGCCTTCAATGGATTATTTTGGTTGCCATTTGTTGACGTACTCACTGCAATCGCTATTTCGTGGTGCATCTGCATGTGGTTCTCTTGATGTATTTCCTCCAACAGTTGTCTGCAAATCATGCACTGAACCCGTTTCCGTTTTTGTTCTCGAAACATCTTTGTATCAAAGAGAACATCCTGATGCATATTGAAATGATGCTCATTCAAGCCTTCCTCTTGAATATCTTGCCCGTGGCACAATTTACACTCGAATACTTTCACTTCAACGGACATGGTTGATACATTAGGCATGTGCACCAAATGCATGTGGCTCTCAAAACATCCAAGTGGTACCATCTTGTCACAAGTCAAACAGTAAATTTTGTTTTCGAAATCACACAGCTCATATATGTCCGTGCGTGGCTCTGTGGGGTGCACCTCCTTGTGGTGCATCTTCAAATTACATTCGGCCACTCTTGAATCGCAGACAACACATGTGTAACGACGAATTCGAATATATTCCGCATTTCCATATTTTAATGGATGTTTTGAGATACCAGGTACAAGTAGATCACTTTGATCCTTCAAATCTTCACATTTCATTTTCAATGCAGCAACTTTCTCTACCGACTGTGGTAGCCGTCTCTTTCTTTGTTTAACATGCGTTAGCTCAAAAATGTCTTGATCGCGAGGAATGTTTTTGTGCTGTCTTTGGTGATGTTTCGACAACTGATATTTCCATAAACCCCCCGTTCCACACACCGTACACTTGAATTTTTCAATTTCAATGGTGAAACTTTCCTGTCTGGCATTTGCTTCACAATTGCCGAAGGATTCATTAGAATTCAGCGATGGGTTGTTCGACATTTGATTGGGCGTTCGATGTGACTGGTTAAATATTTTCAGAACGGCTAAATTGAAATGGAATTCTATTACGAACAGACAATAGATTGAAAAAATCAAATAACATTTACCTGCAATTGGTTCGGCGCTGTGGCGTAATGTTGTCGATAGCACAAAATTTGCTGCTTTGTTTTGATGTTTGTTAGTCGCAGACGTCAAACCTGAAGCTTACTTCCTATGCTAATTCATTTTTACAAGTGACTAAACAATCTGCTCGATTGAATTGACTTCTTCCATTGAAAACTAGGCTCGTACTGCAAAATTAACGAAGGAGGAATATTTGCTTATTATTACAGTAGATAAAAATCTATGGCAATATTTTCTGTTATCAGCGTATCAGTGTTGAATTAACAGTGTGAATTTTAAATTTGTTTACATTTAATAAGACAAAAAAAACTTTAAGGGAGGGAAAAATGAACTATCACTCTCGTTGACTCAACAATCAATGACGGTTTTTCGTTAGCCAGCATTATCTTAGCCTTGGTTTACACCAACAACTGGTGTAAGCCAATCATTAGCCAGCTATCTGTGTGAAATGAGTACATTCAATTTACAATAATTTTTGATTTTTGTATTCTGATTCAAATCATACAAATTAAAATGAAAATTAATATATTTCATAAAAGTCATTTTTATAATTTGAATTATTATTATTTTTCAAAAATAACATCTTAATAAAAAAAATCGATGTTTGGTTTTATTTAAACTCTGAGTTGAATGTCAGTCCCAAACGTTAGTTCAGATGAGTGTGTTTAGTTACTTCCAACTAAACACACCCAGTTGGTCTATACATTCGTTAGCCAGTATACGCTTATGCGACTAATTAGCCAGCTTATTTGTTCTTCACTGTCAACAATCAAAAGAACTAATACTCAGCTTAAAAAAAACTCGAAATGTTTGTGACATTTCTACCAAAATAAAGTAAATTCCAACACTTTTACTTTATTTGGTAAATGTCACAAACATTTCGAATTTTTCTTCTAACTGAATATATATCATTTTATCTGGCTCTAAAGCGCTTTCTTATCTCTGCATACTTCTTAAGTGGCATTCGAATTCATTTTGTAAAGAAGAAAACAATTCATTGCGATTGAAGAATAATATAACATAATTTTTTCCAGACGATTTTATTGATTACATTCAGCTAACATAATATCTGTTCCTAAGCGTTATCTCCTAATTAGCTGCAGTAAATTTTGATTTTGTGACTTGGAGTCCAGAAAAAAAACATCAAACCTTTGAATTTGTGACATATTTCCATGAAAAGAGTTGAAATATTTGTCACTTTCTACGTTTATGCAAATGTAGTACAACCACATTTACGTTATGTCTAGTCTAATGCGTTGCTCGCTACACACAATATTACAAAACACAAAGAAACCTTACACTTTTGTTACTTCCAATTCCAAATGATTTTCCAAATTCCATTTCTGCGAAAAAAAAACATCTGTTACAATCAAAGCATCTCGACAATCAGGCGAGATTCAAATATAAGATCCACCCAGCAAGAGCTCATTTGACAGAAATCAACAATAGAATTTATTTTAATAATTTACTCAAATTCTCAACGAGAGAGCTACTTATTGACTCTACAATTTTGAATCGACAACGATTCAAATGCTTTATTTGCTTAATTCGGTCATCCGAATACTACGAGCAAATACTCCAATGAAAAATCCAAAACGCATCGCTTAGAGTAAATGTTAATTTTTTCTTTCCTTTCAAACTAATTTAAAGCGATGAAGAAGAGGAAAAATTGGCATCTTTCTATTGCCGGGGATCGAACCACGGACTTTCTGATTGCCGGTCAGATGCTCTGTCCATTGAGCTACAACGACCCCCAAGCGAATATTGTTGCATTTTTCATTTGAGCGCAAATTTTACCTTGTAATGTGATCAGATCAGAAATTGATTTTTGTTCAGTTTTTAGAAGTTATTTTGTTTGCTTTAATCGTATATTCGGCAGTATACATGATTATTTTCTGCTAAAACATGGGGATTCGCAAATCCCAAACAAAAGACATTACTATCGGCGGACCAAAAGTCGATGTTAAAATAGGGATATTTTTACTATTGCTGTTGCTTTGTTGTTATTATTCTTCTAATTAGTCTCTTTGGACGGATTTTTCCGTAAAATTCCCAGTTTTAACACCTCTTAATTATTCACAGGTGCTCAAATACCTGGTAATGGTGTCAAGTGCACCAGAAACATTCTTCATGACTAGTGAAGGTATCCCAAAGAGGATTATGGATCAACTTCGAATTATACACGTATGTCAATCAGGTCAGTTTCCTCGAATACGTCCAATATAGTTCTAAACAGTAGTACCAGCAGAGTTTTAGTCTGTGAAAAGGTCGTATTTTCGTTCATCTTTATAAGGTCAAGTCTTTTGCTTGAATCTCACATTCGATTGTCTGACCTCATCGAGTCCAGAGTGAAATAAGCATCAGAAGATTTTTGAAATTTAAAAAGACAATTTCTTCCAAACATATTTACTTGAAAATACATTGACAATTTAACTCGATTGAAGAGAATTTATCATCATTTTTAATAATAAAAAAAATACCAAAAATTCTGATATTTATCAACAGACCGTGAGTTATTTCTGTTTTTCGTCCAGTGCAAAAAAATGAGTGAATCATCGAATTACAATCAATGGCGTCAGCCAAAATCAGCTGGAATGGATCCATCAAAGGCATGGATAAGAAATGTCGGTGTTGGCTTAACAAGAGGAAAAATGTTCAACAGTCACCGAAATGCTCACGTCCAAAAAACGGAACAACCACGAAGACCGGTGAATGGATATTCATCGGCCAACACAAACAATAAGAATCAAGTTTCAGCGAGTCGTGCCATCGTTGACAGAGCGGCGAATGATCTGGAAAAGTGTCATATTTCCAATAGCTATTCAAAGTTATCGAACAGCAAATCGAAAGACAACCATTTGGTCGCATTTAGTACGCACGTACAAATAATGGAAACAGTCCGGGAGGCACTTGCTTCAGAGAGTGAAACAGCGCCCGTATCAAAGCAGAACGCTCAACCGATCTACATGGATGAAGAGGATGTGAATAATTTCATCAAAAGTGGCCACATTACATTTGTTCAAGGCAAATTACACTACAAAAAACCATCGAGCTGATTGTTTAATTCACTTTTGATACATATTCGTGGCATACGACGCACATTTAGTAATAAGAAATTATTTATTAGTACAGTGGAGAAAAAAACGTTAGAATAATAGCACCATAAGAATCCAATTATATTCATGTATGATTTCATCCATAAACAATAAATACACAACCTCAAAAAAATCATGCAATCTTTCCATCATTCACACCTATTTAACTTGCCACCAAATAAAATTCACAACTCATAAATATTCTACACCAAACTAAACTTCTTTTTCCAGAGCCGACTAGAACAGACAGCAATTCATATGTTGTGTTGACACTCCACTTATGTTAGTTTCGAAATCGAATTGAATGCAATAGATTTTTCAATTCTAGCAATTTGTTGACAATTTTTCATTGAAATATCTTTTGAATGTGAGGAAACCGCAGCTGATGCCCATTAAAATTATTTTAGAAAACTATAAAAAGTGCGCATTTTAAATTCAAAAAAAGTTTCGGCTTTTAAAGTACCACACGAATGTACTTAACTGCACTCAAGCGGGTGAGTCTCCACTCTGACATACGTATACGTATACGTTACGAACACCGAAAAATGTTTGACGTTTGGCCGATGACGACGACGCTTCATTTCTGTGTTTTCTCGTCTACTGACTATTGGCTATTTTGTAGCTCTGTAAATGTTTCGTGTTTTAGATTTGTTTTATTCAATTGAATTGTCTACATTTGTGTTTGTTAGACCAAATCCAAGCAAATATTTAAAAAAAATTGAATTTTGGTCATCAGAAACGTCGAGCAATTGAAATTCGTTCAAAAACTGTGGAATTGTAACGCAAGAGACGTCAGAATCTCGCAATCAGGTAAGTTGTTCGATTGAAGCCAATTTTTTCCCAATAAAAAGCTGATTCGGAACGACTTTCTATTGCCAAATTGAGTGTGAATCGATTTTCTGATTTACAAAATAACAATTGAAATGTGATCAGATGAACGGGAAAAGCGGAATATTGAAATGTCACTGAAAATGTTGAGCAAGTGTATCTAATTTTCACTCAATCTGTCTCCGAATTGTCGTTTGATCAATAAAATTGTTTGTAATATATTTCCAAACGATATCTAATGAAAACAATATGATTTTTCTCAATTTCCAGCAACGATGAATTCGAATTCGCGCAGACGTTTGGCCAGATACTGGTCGAACATTGAGATAGAAACCAAGGAAACGCTACAATCGGTCAAAGAAGACTTTCAAAGTAGCGGCATGTCGTTTGATAGCAAATTCAAAGAATTTTTTGTGCGAGTGACAATTGATCGGTGAGAAACTCATTGTTGTTTTCATTTCTACAGCAATTTGCTGAATTGATTTGTGAATGTTTTCGAAATTTATTGAATAAAACATAAAACCATAAAAATATTGGCAAATTTGTCAATCATTTAATCTACAGCGTCACACGATTGTTCACTGAATGTGAATTGGAAGAGCAGTACATTGGCGTTCGACCTATTCAGGCAGCAGTCAACCAAAATCCAATCAACACGACGACTGCCAAAACAGACGGCGAGACAGGAATCATGATCAGTCAACTGACGGCTAACCCAATTCCAACCGAGATGTACGTTCCAAGCGACGCATCACTCGTATCGTTCCTGGCCAAACATACTGACCCAAACAATGTTACTTCGACGATCGAAGCAATGTTTGGAAATGTATCGGTGCCAGCTTCTCAAAGTGACCAGACTCCATTGATTGGTGTGAATGGAAGTGACCAGAATAAGGATGCCAATGGAAATTACTTGACGCCAAAAGAGAATGACGTGAGACCAACTGTAGATACCACTGAATTGGCGAATGGAATGATGGCCAATCGTTCGATAATCGATCCAATCGTACCAGCTTTGATTGCACAACCGAATACTGCTGTGGATTGGCCTCAAGAACTGCCCACTTCGACTCCATTCCATGGCTTGGTCGAGGAATCCGAAACGAACGCTTCAAGCTGTGGGTCGTTCCAGCGATTCTCATCATTTTTGGACAGAAATATCGATCCAAACGATGTCACATCGACGATCAACGTAATGCTTGGCAACGCATCAATGATAACGGCTCAAATCGATCAGTCTCAAGCGACTGATGCGATTGAAAATGGGCCAAACGATGCCAACAATGGAATTGGCATCGTCGAAACAGCGAATATAACGACACCACCCGATTCAACTGGACCAGAGTTCAGTGATATGGCCGACATCAACTCGATGAATGCTCCAGAGAGCGAATCAAACGACGCCCAACTGCCGAATGAAACGGTTTTTGGTGGGTCTATTGACATTGACGATGAGATTTCGGCTGATGAACAAGCTGCATCGAGTACACGAAGCAACGAATCAACCAACCAAGTGACAGAATGCACGGATTTGACCTGTGAAGATGTCCAACCATCGTCAGAAGGCGCCAGCCATCACATCGAGCGAAATGGTGTGCGACAAGGAGGAAAGCAGCGACGAAAAAGGAAAATTGCTCATGCAACGACGTCGGATGGAAGTGCGAAGAAGAAACGAATTACGGGCCCACGATCGACACTGAAAACCATTCCGGAATTGAATTCAGGTGAGACATTCAAATCGATACACGCAAAGACTTGGTTTACATTTTGGTCATGATTTCGATTTACTTTTTTCACAGAAGTGGCATTGATTGACCTGACATTGAACGAGATCGAGAGTACTGAACAAGCGAGCAGTACGAGCAGTCAGCCAGTCCAAGAGGAAGGTACTGACTCGAGTGGAGCTGAAAGTCAAAGTGCATCGACATCGAACGCGAGACATGTAGCAAGGAATAACGGCGGCATTGTCAAACGTGGAGGTGAAAATGGGTCGAATGGACTTAAGTATGCATTTTGTAAACACATAGCTTCACAAAAATCGAATTTGACTAGACACGAACGCATACACACTGGCAAAACGCCATTCAAATGTATAGTTTGTGACAGAGGATTTACTCGCAAAGATCGTCTTATTGGACACATGGGAACCCACACGAATAAATTCCCGTTCCATTGTGCGATTTGTCGTCAAGGATTCAAGCTGAAGGAGGAAAAGGAAACGCATGAAAAAGACTGCAACGTACGTCGATATGAATGCTATTTTCGCGAGTGCGGGTTTTACCATTTCAACAAATCAGATTTAGTCAGGCATATGCGCATTCATACCGGAGAGAAACCATTTCGTTGCTCCCATTGTTCACAACGATTCACTCAAAAAGGTGTTTTAAATCGACATTTCAAACGTCGCCACAATAAGACCAAATGATTTTATGCAACGCGTTTCGAAGACGTTCCATCGTCGAGAGATGTCTAGAGACACATTAGTTTTTGTGATTGTATCACATTCAGAAATGTATGTTTCCCGTGTGAAAAAATAGTAACTGAGCAGTCAGTTAACTAATTTGGGACAAAAATGACTTACTTTGATTGACATTGTAAGTCTATCATAGTTAACTGAAATCATTTGAAGTTACAAGTCAATCTAAGTTGCTTCATTTGGGACCAAGTGATTTTCTTAGACCAAAAATATAAATTCAATCAACTAAAGTCAACTGAAGTTATAGTCAGTCAGTCATTTCTTTTTCACACGGGTTATCACTTGATTGTGCGTAGAAAAGAAGAATCTCATAATTTGTACGAATATTGATGAAAATCAGCTCGAAAATGTTGTGATTTAGCGTGTTCAATAGAATAAAACGGACTTAGAATTAAGTTTCACATACAGAAATATCCAAATTGAAGTATTGTGACATAAAACATTTGTTGTTCGTTAATAAAATGATAGAAATTACTCGAGACATACTTGGTTTTCTCTTCTCTGATATTTGACTGGAGAATTCTTTGTTCTTGTTTGGATTAAACCAGAGCGTCTGAAGCTTTGGCATCCCGAGGGGATAATTTCAATTAAAAAAAATATTTGTAGAGATAATTTTGTTTGTTGAATTCCACAATTCCCAAATTAAGAACATTTCAAAATTCAATCTTGAAAGTGCATTCTATCTAGTATAAGCCGCCCAGAAAAAAGTGGGGACTAAAAAAAGGATCATATGTCCTAGCTTTTGCATGGGTAGATTTTATTACAAGAGTTAATGTGAACAACAATTTTCCAGCAGGGGGTAAATTGAACCTCGGACTCTGCTTCAGAAGCTCTGGGAAAGACTCATAAATTGACTGAAGTCACATTAGAACTATGCATCCCGTTATATCATGTGCTATCTGATAAAAAAAAGTTTGAAATCATTCATGAAAACAAAATAAATCTTAGTTTACAGAAGGAATGGATGTCGTCGAAAAATACATGATTTCTTTCAAAAATCATGAGTGGCCCGGAATTCCTCAAACACTAAGGTTTCTAAAATGAGCGTGTATGAATCATTCAATGGATGTTCACGCAAAACTCCCTTTTTGAGTCAGAATATCAATGGTAAACGATAATTATAAATATATTTTTCCAAGTTGATTCTTCAAAAAATGTTATGAAAACAATGCAAACATGAACAGTCAATGAAAATATTTGGGACCTCATAGTGCAAAGTCATCACAGAGAGCTAACAATACAAGTACACGCGTCGAGTGGGGGTAATGGAAAGACGAGATTGGACTGAAATTGACATTACAATGTGTCAAACTATTCAACTAAGGGAAAAAAGCGGTGAATATTCATGCAAAATATATGCTACAAAAAACCGTCATATTTTACTTGGAAATTATTGAGTGCGATCGCATAGAGTGGGTGAACCCGATCTGGTTCAATGTATTCTAGAACTGTGGCACTCATTTTTAGCATGATTCATTGAAATGAAGAATTTTCCTTGTTTTGAGTATATGTGTTTATTTTCAAGTGACGTGCAAATAATTCAGTGTAATCAATAACGAAGTGGAATGAATAACAGCATCAAATACTTACCACGTTAATGTTATTTTCCTTTTTATACGAATAAAGACTGCAAATACCAAAAAAACTCATCGAGAAAAATCAAAATGAAACCACAATCGATATATTCACAGTAAAAAAAACGAATTTATTATGTTTCTTTGTCGATTCATTGAACAAATGAGAATAGTTCAGAACATTGAAATAATTACAGAGAAACGAAAGCGTCACAGACCGATAAAATATTGATAAATTCAACGTTTGTCTGTGGCCACTTCGAACAAGTGTTCCGAATAGCTCAATATGGTTTGCTATTTGCTTAGAAAAAGAAAACATTCCCATCAATTTGTTCCACTTGAATATGTGTGAATGGCTCAATACAATCTAAATATCTTAGTCAATAAAAATTTGTTATCTCCACCTGCACTGCCTACTTAATAATTAACGTTTTTGTCAATAAAAACACGACAATGGTCAATGAAATTGGTTAAATATGAGTTTGTCGATTCCTTACTCGGTATTTACAGAGGCAAACAAAAAAAAAAAATTAAACACGTTCCTAATCAAAGGTGATCTACGAGCCAAAGAAATTTGTTGCTCCACTACAAATGAAAAGTCATAATTTTAATAAGAGAGGTGCTTATAATCTAAAAGACAACGGCGTCATGTTCCAGCCGGATCTGTGTTCACACCCATTCGGCGCGTTGTTATGTTTTCTTTGGATTGAGCAGTGGCGTTTTTTCCGCTGCTGGTCGTACATTTTCAGGATATGCGGTTGATCGTGTATGGCTTTGTGATGGCATTTGTGAACCGTCTCGATGCGGCAATTGCCATAGGTGTTGCTGTTGACTTGTTGGTGGCACACGGATCGAAGAGCCACTTCGTCGACGATTTTGCCGGTGGAACAATTCATGTAGGTACAAGGTACTTAAGCACATATCAGCTGTGGTAAGATCACTAGACACTGGTTCGTAGCCGCCCGTTTGCCCATAGAGGCTGTGGAATAGGCTACGGTCGTGTGATGCATTCATCGGACCTTCACGGTGTGAAGCTCCTCTGAGCACACTTGATGTCATCGCCGATGAGGCAAGCCTATGCCCTGGCGATTCTTCGGGCATTGGTGGATTTTCTGCATTCTCGTCCTGCTCATTCTCTTGAATATTTTGCAAATTACTGCGATATGCCATGGATGCACCGTCGGACAAGTGCTGCTGAAGCATTCGATTGAAGTCGTAAGCGTGTGATGGCATATCGGCATCTGGGTGATGTGATACGTGGATTGAATTACGGAACCCGGGCGAGAATTGAGACATACCCATGTTGAATGCATCGTATCGCTGAGGCATTATCAAGGAGTCAACAATTGATGAGTACTGAAATTAAGACGAAGACATGAATTTTTAGTGGTTTTGAACATTTTTTCAAAAAAATTCGTAATTCTTAAATTTTTTTTTCTCCAAAAATCGACAAATATTCCATTCGAAAAATTATTTCGACAAAATTCCCTACCTGACCACCAAGATTGCCCACCGAAAACAGGCTCTGTCCCATCGCAGTGTTCATAACTCCCGTCTGGCGAGTTCGATTGAAGTCCTGTTGAGCATGTCGCTTCAATCCATTCATGAAATTATGTGCATCCGACGGCATTTTCCATTCCGGATTGGTCAATGTGAAATGAACCAACGACAGTTCCGTTTTTCCATGTTCACCCTGAGTGTACTTATTTGTTTCACACACTGGGGCGGTAGCACCTTCGGTTAAATCACCTTCAGTACTGTGCGTTGGTTGCCATTCCGAATTGCCGTGTTTACGAACGTCCATCTGAGCAAACGAGCACACATCACCCACACCAACAACAGAAACCGTAAAGTTGCGGAAGAAATCCACGTAATCCAATGCTTTGGGTCGAATATAAAATAGCAGTATGAACGGTGTTGTTATCGGGCTCAGCAATTCGGAGATTAGATAAAACACACGCAACTGGAAAAATTGACCGAATTGGCTTCGCACATGACTGGTATGGGCCAATCCTTTCCAAGCCACCGGTAAATAGTGAGTGTGAGCCAAAACTGCTGTCATCAATTGCTCCGGACAAAATATAAGATTTTCGTCGGGAATCAATACTCTGAAAAAAAAAAAAGAACACGCGGATACATGATTTAGCAAAGCGAAAAAAGTTGTGGAAACAATTGCGATTTTTTTTCGATGCAAATCAAAATGCATAAAAAACGACGAAAAAATTGAGTACAAAATTTTTAATGAATAAAGAATTGCCGCTAATTGCACGATATTGGTCTTGTTTTTGGTCTGGTTAGCAGACAATGATTGAAGTTTGACGTTTTTCTCAATTTTTCCTCGATTTTTCCTTGCATCATTTACCTTGACACAATGGCCAAAAGTGTGAGTATAGACACCACTTGAAAGATGTGCTCAATATGAGCGATGTCCTCGTCGACAAACATGAAAAATAGGAAAATCATTGTTGACACACCGCCGAATAGAAACGAGAGTTTTCTGTGAAAGAAAAATTGATTTATAATATTTTTATGGAAATTAAAAATTTCAAGTAACTTCTTGCCAATGTTTTCTGAATGTTGTTTTTCTAAATTTTATCATAATAAAGAAAAATATGATCCATACCTAGCGATAACGGCTCCCATTGGAGATGAAAATGATTCCATGTACTTGACGGCTGGCTTATAGGCTCGATTCAGACGGGCTTGCAACTCATGGTCCAATTCATTGAAGTGTCTCATGTAGAGCATACCATATTGCGACCAGCACCGAATACCTAACACACCCGGATCTCGTTTTACCAACTGAAATATAATGATATATTAATTTTGGAGAATAAACATGACGAAAATTTATAAGAAAAATTATGAAAATAAATTACAGAAAAATTAAGTTGGGAAAAAATATGCGATTTTTAAAAATGAAAATAACAGGTTTGGATTAAAAATTTAAATAAAAAACCAGCAAATTCAATATCATATTTTTAAATACATAAATTAGTATCTTTTTGAAATTCCATCTAGGAAATTAATTGACAACTTACATCACCGTAACTGAAAATGCAGAAAATCGTCGCAAACAAAAATATCACTGGAGCAAAGATCAAATTAATGAGACCAGCGTAGAAAATGTACTTCGACAGCTGCTGGGACAGCTCAGTTCGATTGGTCGAACGTTTGTATTGTTCCTTTAGATGCCAATTATCGAACACTGACCATGGGCTTCCTGAATATCAGATCAAAAATACGAGATTAGTTTGATTGAACGGACAATTGACTTAAATTGTCATGTAAAGTTAACATTGTAAACTCAGTCAGACAATGCTAAGTCAATGAATTGCTACTAGAAAAAAAAATTACTAAAAATTAATTTGCTTACGGAAAAATATCAGCTCCAAATTGAATCGTAGACTTTTGCTGAAAAAATTTGTCTCACCCGCCAAAGGCAAATTGATGGTCGTCTGAATGAGATTCTTATTCATCATAGCTACCATGTAATTCTTGAACCTGTAAACAAAAAGACGAAATACTCAGAATATACGCTTTTGAAAAATGAATAATCAAGTCAGTATTCGACAAAAATACCTCAAAATTCGATGATAAATATCCAATTCGGTAAGGTGCTCTTTGTGGATGCACATTTGTTGCTCCATTTGCACCTCACGTATTCGCCGTTGCACATCATGCCACGTATAATTGCCCAATTCACTCTAGAAATAAATTAGAAAATTATTTTAGCATTTTTGTAATTTTTTCGTATTCAAAGATTTTTTGTTGAAATTTTCCGCAAAAATAAAATCGAAAAAGTAAGAAAATCATAAATTTAGTTTAATTTTATCTTAATTATGATGAAAATATTTGCAAAAAAAATCTTTTTTCTGTTTTGAAATTTTTACGGTTTAATTTTGTCTAAAACATTTTTTTTATCCACAAGAAGATAAGATATGCATTGACCCTCGTCGAATTTACGAACGAAAATACAGCGATAACGTAAATTCCAACGGATTATTAGAAAATGAGCACGTGGACTTTATAGTTTAAAACGTGCGTGTCGAATGTTCGGCCAGTCTCGGAGGGGTCAAAAATTACAGTGTCAGCACAGCTGATAGTAAACGAGAGTAGATCTAAAAATAGTCTGTATTGATGCCAATAACACAGTTCAATGTGCAAAAACGTGCATCCAACGTTGGATAATTTTAGCAGATTGTTGCTCTCTATCTCGATTTTAAACAGATTTTTCTGGTTGGACACCAATTTATGGGCATAAAATGAAGAAAATCTATGAGTATTATAGTGCTACCATAGTAAGAGAAGTGTATCTCTTTATGAAAATAAAGCATTTGCACGCCAAATAAAAATAAACATAACTTTGCCTATCAGAAATGTAGGTCGAATAGAATTGAACCAGAAATTTCGAAATATTTTGAGGGAACGGGAAACATTAGCCGTTTTTGCACCCAAAAATTGCAATTAAAAAATCCAAAGCCAGAAAATTGCACATAACTAAAAACAATGCACATCACTTACATCATCAATTTTAAGCGCAGTATTGAAGAATTTCTTAATATCGTAGTATTGCACGGCGTGATAAAAAAATCGTATCAAACGGAAGATCCAGAAGAGGCCCGATAAGAAAATGACAAGCCATCCGCTAAGAGTAATTGCATTGATGCACTCTCCTTGCGGCAAAATTGCTTCATAAATTGTAATCCGGGTGTGGTTTCTGTAAAACAACGTAAACAAATTCTATTAATATACGGAAAAAGAAGTGTTTAAAAACCGCAAAATATATCATCATCGACAACAACAACAACAGAATAAAAATGAAATAAAAGAAAAATAGAAACAAAATCAGGATGTTTACACATGGGCTTACCCGTCAAGTACTGTGTAATCAACGCAAAAAATGACAGTTGTGACGAACCACACAACAAATGCAAAAATCACAAGATCAAAAATATAGTTGAGCATCATGACGGTGAAGCCGTGTTTTTGGTGGTAAAAATACATTCGTGTGAAAAACGAGTCTAAATCTTCGATATGATTCCATCGTGCTGCAAAAGCAAATAAGAAAAGTCGTTAGCAACGTGTTTTAGATTGAATAAAAAACAAAAAAAGCGCCATACCTTTGCCCGTATCGGGTACCACGTGTATAATGATACCATTATCGCGATGTCCATCTTCGTTTTCGGTGTCGGTGGTGGTTTCGTCGATGCCAACGGACTCATGACGCGATTGACTAGAATTTTCAACGAACGGATTTGATACTTCGGCTAGCGCCTGATAATCATTCTTAGCCATTTCTTTTTATTATGTCGGATGACCTTCACTTAACACATGGAGTACTGCTTCTGATCTCCCTCCGTGTGTTCCGCAAATCTCTCTCTCTCTCTCTCTCGCTCGCTCACACAACAACAAAAAATCGTTTCCGATTCCGAATCGGTCGATAAAATTTTGAGCAAACGTTCGCTTCACCTCGCTTGAACTTGAAAATAAAACAAAGACGATAAACATATAAAAGAATATTTAGAACCAAGTCGAGAGAAAAGCAAACAATACAATTAATATAATACACGCGCTCAGTGAAACTGCTTAACCTTGGCAACAACACGTCCGTAAGATAGTGTTATTTTTGCACGCAAAAATATTGACCAAAAATGGACACAAAATTGATTTTATTTCAAAGAACAATCAACAATTTTACAATTTCAATTTAATTGAGCCACACAAAATCATTTAATATTGATTGGGTCGTTGACGAGAGTGAAAAATAATAAATAGAAATGAAATTGCGAAGCATTTGAACGATGACAACATAAACAGCTGATACGAATGCTGAAAATATACATATTGTTATATAGCGATGCGTCTTAGTATGCATCCGCCCGTGTGTGTGTGTATGTCAGTCAGACCTCGACTAGTGTCATACAAACAAACGAAACAGACTCCATACAAAACAAAACAATAGATAAAAACCAACGACCGAATATACGTATATGTATACAGTACGAATCACAGTGCGAAGAATCTATTTTTGTTTGTGGCCCCAAAGGTACACACGAAATAAAAAACAACATCATTCATACAGCTGATTTCTCTTTTCCTCTTTACACCAGCGCTCTCTTTCTACGTCGTTCTTTTGACTTTTTATTTCTTCTCTTTTCTTGCTCGCTCCGTCTGCATCTCATTCGCAAACAAAGGATTTTGCGAGCTTTCAACTACGTTCTATCGTGTGCGAAGAAAAAAATGTGACTCAACAAACGACAAATATCACGCATCAATCACACCAAACAACATTTTTTTTCTCTTCTTAATCGCTTATTCTTGCATCAAACACTATTTCGCATGATTTTACACGATTTTGATGAGTCTTTTGTACCTTTTTGTTAGCTGCTCTTTGTTACAGGCCCTTTTTCTAACACTGGAACTAGGACAATTTGTTTCTTCTTTTTCTTTCTTCCTCTATTTTTGCACAACTTTCCACTCAATTTATTACTAACTACTATTTTCTGTCTGATACTGTTTTTCGTCGTCCAATTTTTACGATGCTCTGCAACATCATACACACCACGGATACATTTTTCACGTTTCGCACATCTGAGTCGTAATCTGGTTTTTGCAATGAATGAAAACACAATAAAAAAAAATACCTTCTGTTCACTTGCTTTATTTATGTTCTATATAATAGGCCAATAGGCATGAAGTTGGCTTGCTTATCGTAACCCGTCTATTTTGCGTCTCATCGTATTGTGTGTTAACTCCGCCAAGGTGCATGACATATTCGATGAAACGCATTTTTGTCTACAGCATATAGAAGTCAGTAAATTCGTTTTGAAATTGTTGATTTTAATTATTTCAACGAAAAATTTTGGATATCTTTCCATTTTTTGACATTTCAACACCCAAAAAGCCACATTTTCCACTAAAATTACATTTGATTTACAGCACATCAAGTCAATGTGGGTTAACACTGTCAAATCTACCGTCTAAAATGTCATTTTAGTCTGACACTTTACATCACTGGCACGTTTTAAACGTAAAACACACAGAAACTATGTGTTTAACACAGAATTGAACAGAAATGTTAACCAAAATTGTAACTAAATTTAAATTTCGACACAAATTCCGTGAAATATACAACTTTCACCGGAATTTATGTACGGCCACTGACCAAAGCAAGTAAATTTAAATAAAATTCCTCATTTTGGATGAAATGTGAGAATATTGTGTTTTTATACCTTTTTTCAGTAGACCGGCCGTAATTTTAGGCATTGAAACATCATGCGATGATACCGGTTGCGCTATTGTTGATAATAATGGACACATTTTGGGCGAAAGCAAACATTCACAGCTTCAATTTCATCTCAGGTTTGGAACACGAATTTTGGTATTCATTTTTTTTTTGGTTCAACATTTCGGTGTAAATTATTATCAGATTTTGTGGATGAGTGCATCTCATCAGATTGGCAAGAAAGTCGATTTTTTTCAGTGTGAAATTGTTTTATTTTTCCGCATTTTTATTTTCTTCAATTAAAAAATCAAATCGCATTTTTATAGACGAATTATACCGTTGAAAAATATTTTTATGCTGAATTTTTATAACCGAATAAGTATCAAAAGTAAACGTAAAATTCCCGTGAAACCAATATTATTTTAACTTGAAATTTATTATTTTAACTATTAATTTATTATTTAACTTAAGATTTAATAATTTCTCAATTTATTTTTGTATGAAATTGTCAATGACAATTTTTCATTAAAAAAATTTATTTGCCAATTTAAATAAACAAAAAATGTTTTTCTTTCAATTTCCAATTTTTTGTTAATTTTCTAACTTTAAGTTATTGCAAATTTTCGCTGATTGGCTTTGAATTAAGAAAAAATGTCATTATTTGTTATTTTTATAATTTTTTTTATTAAATTCTTTTTTTTGCATAGCAGGAATGGCGGTATAAATCCAAATTTTGCACAAGAGCTACATCGACTTCACATTGAAAATGTGGTGACCGAGGCATTGCAAGGGGCAAATTTTACGGTGAATGATGTGGATGGGATTGCTGTGACAAATCGCCCAGGTAATTAAAATATTAACTAACCATTGGTTAGTATGCAAGAGTCAATCTTGGATTTTGTGAAACATTTTTCTCGCTATGGAATTAGATCTTGTTTGGGACTCAAACTGTGGGTTTAAATTTTATTTGTTGAAATTACTCATCAATTAAAATTTAATAGAGACAAAGACGATAAAGAAGAAAAAGAGGAAGAAGAAAAGGTAGAGGAGGAAGAAATGTAGAGGAGATGGTGAAGGAGAAGAATATTGATGAAAGCCATTCAGCAAATTATTGCAAATCAATTGAACAATTTTTAATTTTAGACTTAAATATTTCTGACATAAAATAAAAAACTCAATAAAATTTTCTCAATGTTTCAGGTATCGAGCGATCACTCATAATTGGGATGCGGTATGCGAAGCACTTGGCGCGGAAATACTCCAA